GGAAGTCCTAGCTGGAGCAATTAGACAATAAATTAAAAAATAAATAAATTGCATTCAAATCTGTAAAGAGGAAGTCAAGCTGTCACTGTTTTCTGAATTTATGATTTTATACCTAGAAAACCCTAGAGATTTATTAAAAAGCTTCTAGATCTAATGAATAAATTCAGTAAACTTTTAGAATACAAAATCAATGTACACAAATCAGTACCACTGCTATACACCAACAGCTACCAAGCTGAAAATTGAATCAAGAACTCAACCCTTTGCAAAAACCTCCAAAAAAATAAAATAATTAGAAATATACCTAACCAAGGAGGTGAAATACATCTACAAAGAAAATTACAAAACACTGCTTAAAGAAACCATAGATATCACAATCAAATGGAAACATATCCCATGCTCATGGACAGGTAGTGTCAATATTGTAAAAATGACCATACTGACAAAAGCATTCTACAAGTCAGTTTTCATCAAAATACCACCATCATTCTTCACAGAACTAGAAAAAAATCCTAAAATTCATATAGAGCCTCAGAAAAGCCCACATAGCCAAAGCAAGACTAAGCAAAAAGTAAAAAATTAGAGGCATCACATGACCTAACTTCAAACTACACTACCAGGCTATAGTTACCAAAACAACATGCTACTCGTATGAAAGTAGACACACAGACAAATAGAACAGAATAGTGAACTCAGAAATAAAGCCAAATACTTGCAGCCAACTGATCCTTGAGAAAGTAAATCAATACATAAGGTAGGAAAAGGACACCCTATTCAACAAATGCTCCTGGGATAACTGGCAAACCACATGTGGAAGAATAAAACTGAATCTTCATCTCTTACCTTATACAAAAATGAATTCCATATGGAGAAAAGATTTAAATCTAAAACTTGAAACTGTAAACACTGTAGAAGCTAACATCAGAAAAACTCTTGTAGACATTGGCTTGGGCAAATAGTGCATGACCAAGAACCCACAAGCAAATAAAACAAAAACAAAGAAAAATAAAACGGGACTTAATTAAACCAGAAACCTTCTTGACTACAATAGAAATAATCAGCAGATTAAACTTACAACCAGCCAAGTGGGAGAAAATCTTTACAGTCTATGCATCCAACAAAAGACAAATATTCTGAATCTACAAGGAACTCAAAAGAATCAGAAAAAAAAAAAAAATCCCATGAAACAGTAAGCTAAAAACATGAATAAACAATTCTCAAAAGGAGATATACAAATGGCCAACAAACATATAAAAACATGCTAAACATCACTAGTTATCAGGGAAATGCAAATCAAAACCACAATATGATACCACCTTACTCCTACAAGAATGGTCTTAATTTAAAAATTTAAAAATGCCAGATGTTGACAAGAATGTGGTGAAACAAAAGCACTTTTACACTGCTGGTGGGAATGTAAACTAGTACAACCGCTATAAAAGAAAAAACAGAATGAAGATTTTTTAAAGAACTAAAAGAGGCCGGGCGCGGTGGCTCAAGCCTGTAATCCCAGCACTTTGGGAGGCCGAGACAAGCGGATCACAAGGTCAGGAGATGGAGACCATCCTGGCTAACATGGTGAAACCCCGTCTCTACTATAAAAAAAAGAACTAAAGGTAGGGCTAGGCGTGGTGGCTCACACCTGTCATCCCAGCCCTTTAGGAGACTGAGGCAGGTGGATCAGGAGGTCAGGAGTTCAAGACCAGCCTGGCCAAGATGGCTAAACCCCATCTCTACTAAAAATATAGAAAAAATTAGGTGGGCCTGGTGGCAGGCGCCTGTAATCCCAGCTACTTTGGAGGTTGAGGCAGGAGAATCCCTTGAACCCCTGCGGCAGAGGTTGCAGTGAGCCGAGATCACACCACTGCACTCCAGCCTGGGCAACAGAGTGAGAATCTATCTCAAAACAAAAACAAACAAACAAAAACTAAAACCTAAAGGTAGAACTATCATTTGATCCAGCAATCCCACTACTCAGTATCTACACACAGAAAAAGAAATCATTATATTAAAATGACACATGTACACACATGTTTATAGCAGCACAATTTGCAACTGTAAAAACACAGAGCCAGCCTAAATGCCTATCATCCAATGAGTTGATAAAGAAATGTGATATATGGCCGGGCGCGGTGGCTCAAGCCTGTAATCCCAGCACTTTGGGAGGCCGAGACGGGCGGATCACGAGGTCAGGAGATCGAGACCATCCTGGCTAACATGGTGAAACCCCGTCTCTACTAAAAATACAAAAAAAACTAGCCGGGCGAGGTGGCGGGCGCCTGTAGTCCCAGCTACTCCGGAGGCTGAGGCAGGAGAATGGCGTAAACCCGGGAGGCGGAGCTTGCAGTGAGCTGAGATCCGGCCACTGCACTCCAGTCCGGGCTACAGAGCAAGACTCCGTCTCAAAAAAAAAAAAAAAAAAAATAGTCAGGAGAGGTGGCGGGCGCCTGTAGTCCCATTACTCCGGGAGGCTGAGGCAGGAGAATGGCGTAAACCCGGGAGGCGGAGCTTGCAGTGAGCTGAGATCCGGCCACTGCACTCCAGTCCGGGCTACAGAGCAAGACTCCGTCTCAAAAAAAAAAAAAAAAAAAGAAATGTGATATAAGTATGTGTGCATATATATCACTATATATATCCCACATATATACACACACATACACAAACAATGAATACTACTCAGTCAAAAAAGGAACAAAATATTGGCATTTGAAGCAACCTGGATGAAGTTGGAGACAATTATTCTAAGTGAAGTAACTCAGGAATGAAAAACCAAATATTGTATGTTCTCACTCATAGTGGGAGCTAAGCTCTTATGCAAAGGCATAAGAATTACACACAGGACTCTGGGGACTCAGGTGGAAGGGCGGACATAAATTCAATGTTAAATGTGAACTCATGGAGAACCTAGACAGCCAACAGCCACTTGTTCATTCCTGAGTTTGGAGGGGCCCTTCTGAATTGTGAGATGATGTACCCAAGGTTAAAGGCCCTGAAGTGTTGCTGAAGGACATGTTGACTCTCATACTTGGGCCAGGAATATGTCACAATATTTTCTGAGGGCAGGGACCAGACAGGAGTGTCACATCACCTGAATACTCAGTCGGGAATATGTTACAACCTTCTTCTGACAGCAGGACACAGGCAGCAGAGTCAAATCACCTGGATGCTGAGCCCAGCAATAGGTAACAATGCTCTCTGTGGTTCAAGGCCCAGGCAGGAGAGACACATCAGCTGGTACCTAGGCTTAGTGATAAGTCCCAATTTTTCCTGTGGGCACAGTGCAGGGAAAAATGGAGAGTCGCATCTCTTAGGTGATTGATGCAGAGATATGTCACAAGGCCCTCTGTAGAAAGGGCCCAGGCGAGGGCCTCCCATTTTATATATGTTGGGCCTAGTAATATGTCCTATTGTGCAAAATATTCTGGGCCTAGGTAAAAGAAAAGAGTCACATAACCTGAATGCAGAACTTAGCAGTATGTCACGATGCACCCCGTGGGCAGCGCCAAGGCAAGAAAAAAGACTCACATTACCTTTATTCCTGATTTAAAGTCCAATGTCTTGTAAGAGAATATTGAATAATGCAAAAATACATATAGACATGTCTGCGTGTGATTGATGCTTATATTCACACAGTCCCCCATACCACAGGAGAAAACAGATAACTGTCAGGCCTCTGAGCTCAAGCCAAGCCATCGTATCCCCTGTGACTTGCACGTATACGCCTGTGACTTGCACGTATACGCCTGTGACTTGCACGTCCGCATCCCCTGTGACTTGCACGTATAGGCCTGTGACTTGCATGTCCGCATCCCCTGTGACTTGCACGTATACACCCAGATGGCCTGAAGTGAAAATGCCCTGCCCCACCTTAACTGATGACATTCCACCACAAAAGAAGTGAAAATGGCCAGTCCTTGCCTTAAGCAATGACATTACCTTGTGAAATTCCTTTTCCTGGCTCATCTTGGCTCAAAAAACTCCCCTGCTGAGCACCTTGTAACTCCCACTCCTGCCCGCCAAAGAACAACCCCCCTTGACTGTAATTTTCCTTTACCTACCCAAATCCTAGAAAACGGCCCCACCCTTATCTCCCTTTGCTGACTCTCTTTTCGGACTCAGCCCGCCTGCGCCCAGGTGATTAAAAAGCTTTATTGCTCACACAAAGCCTGTTTGGTAGTCTCTTCACATGGACGTGCATAACAATAACCACAGACTGACCATTAGGGCCAAGTCCAAATAGCAAAATAAGTTTGCCTTTAATCTATTTTCTCCATATCTAAACATTGGAGGTTAAGCCTGTGGACAGATCTGAAGATAGTTTTCTTGTTTTGTGGCTTCATCATTCTTTGTTCACTGTCTGATGTTTGGAATTAAGGTGAGCAACAGGGGGGCAGCAGTGGTTAATAAAATAACCAGAGGTAACCACAGGTCGACCTGTGGTTATTTTATTCTATCTGTCCTCTGTTCTTTCTATGGTCACTAACTGTTTCTTCCTTGGAATTGAAGAGAGATGTTGGTAGAGAGAGGCTGTCCATTCACCTCTGGCAAAAAAGGGATGTTCAGGCTCTTCACTCCCCTGACATCAGAGCTGCACTTTAATGTGGCAGCTATTGGCCACGTGTGGCTACTGGGTGCCTGGAATGTGGCTGGTCTGAATTGCAATGTGTTAGAAAGGTAAAATACAGTTATTTTCAAAGATTTAGTTCCATATATATGTGTGTGTGGTGTGGTGTGTGTGTGTGTGTGTGTGTGTATGTGTGTTTCATTAATAATTTCATATTGCTCCCATATTAAAATAATACTTTGGATATATTGGGTTAATTAGATTGTTACAATCAATTCCATTTGTTTTTTTCTTTTTAAAATTTGACTACTAGAAAATTTAAAATTCACCTGTGGCTCACATTTTATTTGAGGATTGCTTCTTTTAAAAATTCTCAAGCTGCCTACTCAAAGGACCAGAAGCCAGGAAGGTCATAAAATCTGAAATTCTAAAATAATAATTTTTATATTATTTTTATTTGTGAGTAGCCATATATCATTTACAAGTGTATATGACCTTATACGCAAGGTTAAATACAAATACCCTCTGGGATGGGCCTGGCTCAGCTAAAAGAGGAAGCCCTGGCTGAAAAGGCTGCAGCGTAGGTTGTCACTCTGCATTCAGCCCCAGTGTCTGATCACATCTTCTGTCACTCAGGGCCTGAAGGGTCAGGACCTTAAACGTTGTCCAATCAGGCACGCTGGGCTGGGAACCGTCCAATCAGGCACGCAGCTGGAGCAGACAAGATGGCTTCCGGGATTTGGCGGTGCCTTTGTCTCTGGCTGCAGCGGGAGCTCCAGGTTTCGGCTTCGCTGCTCTGTGTCCTCTGCTCCTAGAGGTCCAGCCTCAGTGGGCCTGTGACCTGCAGAAACTGGGAGATCCATAACTAAGACTCCAGGACCCCCTGGAAGCCTAGAAATGGTGAGCGTTCGGGGTGCGACACCCCTAGAGGGGAAAGGGGCTGGTTGGAACCGGTGGGAAGTGGCTATAGCGGGACTCAGGCCTCCCGGCAGACAGCTCCACAGTCTGCACCCCGAATTCTTCCTCAGCTCGGTCTCAGTCGCCTGCAGCTATAAGATGGCGGCGCGCTGACAGCCAGGCCCCGGGGCGTCAGTCTCTTCTCTGCGTAGTGACTGTGCCCTGGCCTGTAGCCCTCTCTGGCAGCTCTGTACCCGCAGTGCCGCATCTCTCTCAGATTGTGCAGGGATCACGGGACTGGCGTCACGGGAGAATCCTGACTCAGGGTGCGGGTTCATTAATGGGAACAGTTTTCGTCCGTGGGGTTCCCAGTTCCTATTTTCTCCTATTAAAATTTTATGGGAGGGCCGGGCGCAGTGGCTCACGTCAGTAATCCCAGCACTTTGAGAAACCGAGGCAGGTGGGTCACCTGAGGTCAGGAATTCAAGACCAGCTTGACCAACATGGTGAAACCCCGTTTCTACTAAAAATCCAAAATTAGCCGGGCGTGGCGGCACATGCCTGTAATCCCAGATACTCGGAAGGCTGAGGCAGTAGAATCGCTTGAACCCGGGAGGTGGCGGTTGCGGTGAGCCGAGATGGCGCTATGGCACTCCAGCCTGGGCAACAAGAGCGAAATTCCGTCTCAAAAAATAAGTAAATAAATAAAATAAATAAATAAATAATGGGGGTCACCACAAAAATATTGTAGAATTTAATCAAAGATTGAATCAAAAATTGTGGAGCACTCAGCTGTGGTTTGTAGCTTGTGACTTGTGAGAGCAACTTGAAGGAAAGACTTTTAAAGGTACATGATGAAGAAAACCAAATTAAATAATGGGTTAGGTACAGTTCATAGTTGCTTGATTTGTACGATTAAGGTGGACATTTCCTGGTTATGTAATCAGAGGTTAATTGGCAGTTTATGATTGATTAAGCCTAAATTTTGTTTCCGTCAGTCCAATAATTTACCAAAAAAAAAAGCATTTGAGTTAGAGTTTTTAAAAAGTAGGAACCCAGGGACTAGAGTAACCTCAGTCTCATTACCTGCTACTTAGTTATTTTAACTCTCCACAGGGGACTGATTTTCCCCTGCGTTTTTCCGCAGTTCTCTCAAGCTGGGTCTCAAGCCTACCCCTCACATCCCATTCCTCCAGACTAACTATGACTTGTACTAAAATACTAAATTTCCAGTTTCTTCTCACATTCTCAAATGCCACCTTCCCCTTTCTAATTCACATTATCAACTATTTGTCTTTTATTTTACACTTTAGATACTGTATTCTAACTAACCATTTTTTGACATTGGCACTAAAAAAATCGTTTTCTGTTCGAAAATATTTTTTATGAGAAGAAAAAGAAGACCAATCCCCTGACACTGCATTGTAAAAAAATCTTTTCGCCTCATTTTTGAAAATCTTCTCTAGGCACAGAGAGAGTATCAGAATATTTTTGGGTCAAGATTTCCCTTTGGAAACTTTATGGGTGATGTGGCCTCAGCCACCCTTCAGTTTTTTCTAGTCCTGGGCTTCAGTAGTTTCTGTGAATAAACCAATGTACCTACCATGGCTATGTCTGCCTGAGTGTCTAGTGAATATAATCTGCTGGGTTGTTTTCTTTCATAAAACAACCTGAGGTATGGAGTGTAGCCTCTCAGTGGAACAGATGGATGCCCTTGGACTGATAGGACTCTCACCTGCGCTCTTCCTTTGAAAAACTAACACTTGCCTGCACGGTGATGCATGCCTGTAATTCCAGCACTTGGGGAGTCTGAGGCAGTGGATCACCTGAGGTCAGGAGTTCGCGACCAGCATGACTAACATGGTGAAACCCTGTCTCTACTAAATACAAAAAAATTAACTGGGGCTGGCGGTGCATGCCTGTAATCCGAGCTACTTGGGAGGCTGAGCCAGGAGAATCGCTTGTACCTGGGAGGTGCAGGTTGCAGTGAGCTGAGATCGCGCCATTGGACTCAAGCATGGGCACCAAGAGCGAAACTCCATCTCAAAAAAAGAAAAAATAACCCTTGAGACATTAAGATTGCCTTTACTCAACCCAGCTTCCATTTCTTGGAGACACATTGCTGATGGCAGCCAATCAGATACTGGTATTGAGGGAAAAACACAGAGATAATTTCTGTCCCCTGGATTGTCTAAGATTTGTGAAAGAAAAAATAGCATTTCAAAAGACAAAAAAAAGTGACCTCAGTGAAACGATGCAAAAACTTGCAAAGTAAAATGCACTTGGGGTGGTCACTGAGGCATAGTGCAGTGAGAGGGTGGTCACTGAGCACTTAAGTGATCAGGATGGGGTGGGAGAATCTCTCAACTGATTGGTGACCTGACTTGACACATGAATTAGACATATCTGTTTTCTTTTTTCTTTTTTGAGATGGGGTTTTGCTCTTGCTGCCTAGGCTGGAGTTCAGTGGCACCATCTCGGCTCACTGCAACCTCTGCCTCCCAGGTAGCTGGGATTACAGGCATGCACCACCATGCCCAACTAATTTTGTGTTTTTAGTATAAACAGAGTTTTCCCATGTTGGCCAGGCTTGCCTCAAACTCCCCACCTCAGGTGATCTACCCCTCTTGGCCTCCCAAGATGCTGGGATCACAGGCATGAGCCACCGTGCGGGGCTGACACATCTGTTTTCTAATCAGCATTGCCACTCCCAAGGTTTGTCACCTTGAAAAGATTTGTGCACTTATTTTTACTTTTTTTTTTTTTTGAAACGGAGTCTCGCTTTGTCTCCCAGGCTGGAGTGCAGTGGCATGATCTCGGCTCACTGCAAGCTCTGCCTCCCGGCTTCACGCCATTCTCCTGCCTCAGACTTCCCAGTAGCTGGGACTACAGGTGCCCGCCAGCATGCCCGGCTAATTTTTTTTGTATTTTTAGTAGAGACGGGGTTTCAGTGTGTTAGCCAGGATGGTCTCGATCTCCTGACGTCATGATCCGCCTGCCTCTGCCTCCCAAAGTGCTGGGATTACAGGCGTGAGCCACCACGTGCAGCTGGTGACTTTAGTTTTTTTAAATGTAAATTGCATTTTATTAGTAGCATTTCAAAGGTACGAAAATATGTGCAAAGAGCATGTAAGAGTTGGGTTTCAGGAAAAAAAAAATCTAATTTTATATTCTATTTGTTAAAAGTTTTTATTTACCTTTTTCTTTCCCATAGTGAGTTTAGAAAATTTGTCGGTTGTGTTTATGGCTGGGTGATTTCAAACAGAATTCCAAGGTTTAGCTGTTAGAATCCTACTCAGGAAAAGAATAAGGGCCAGGTGCAGTGGCTCACACCTGTTATCCCAGCATTTTGAAAGGCTGAGGTATGCGGATCATGAGGTCGTGAGTTCGGGACCAGCCTGGCAATATGGTGAAACCTCATCTCTACTAAAAATACAAAAATTAGCCAGGCATGGTGGCGCACGCCTGTAGTCCCAGCTACTTGGGAGGCTGAGGCAGGAGAATCGCTTGAACCCGGGAGGTGGAGGTTGCAGTGAGCTGAGATCACACCACTGCACTGCAGCCTGGGTGGCAGAGTGAGACAATCTCTCTTCCTTTTTGGCTGTAAAAATTAAATACATTTCCACAAGAAAATGTAGTAGATAATTGCTGAGTTACATAGATTCATGAAAACATAGTTCCTCTTTTTGCACCATAAATTTGTGACAGTGAATATCAGTTCTGTATCCTGTGATCTTGATTTCTGAATTTAATGCTAAGTGTTATGAGATGAAATTTGGTACCTCCTAGAAGTGTTCTCATATGACGAATTGTTTACTACATAACTTTCTTTTTTTCTGAGCCTCGGCATCCCAAAGTGCTGGGATTACACGTGTGAGCAAGTAGGTGGCCGTGCCTGGCCACCTACTTTTTAATGAGGTTGTTTGTTTTTTTCTTGTAAACTTATTTAAGTTCATTATGGATTCTGGATATTAGACCTTTGTCAAAAGCATAGTTTGCAAATATTTTCTCTTATTCTGTAGGTTGTCTTTACTCTGTTAGCAGTTTTCTATGAAGAAACTCTTTAGTTCAGTTAGATCCCGTTTGTCAATTTGTTGCAATTGCTTTTGGTATCTTCATTATAAAATTTTCTGGTTCCTATGTCTGGAATGATATTTGCTAGGTTATCTTCCAGAGTTTTTTATAATTCTAAGTTTTATGTTTAAATCTTTAATTCATCTTGTTAATTTTTGTATATGTTGTAAGGAAGGGGTCCAGGGCTAGCCTTGTATATAGTACTAACTAGTTATTACTGCACCATTTATTAAATAGAAAATTATTACCATATTTCTCTTTGTCAGTTTTGTTGAAGATCATATGGTTGTAAGTGTGTGGCATTATTTTTAGTAGGATTATTTAAATATTTAAATTTAAATATAAAATTTTAAATAAGATTTAAAATTAAATAGGAAATTATTCCCGTGTTTCTCTTTGTCAGCTTTGTTGAAGATCAGATGGTTGTAAGTGCATGGCATTATTTTTTGGCTCTCTATTCTGTTGCATTTGTTTGAGTCTGTTTTTGTTCCAGTACCATGCTGCTTTGGTTACTGTAGCTTTGTAGTATGGTTTGAAGTTGGGTAATGTAATGCCTCCAGCTTTGTTCTTTTTGCTTAGAAAAGTGTCTTGGCTATTGGAGTTCTTTTTTGGTTTCATATGCCATGTATTTTATTTATTTTATTTATTTGTTTACTTTTTAGTTCTGTTAAGAATATTTTTGATAGTTGTGATAACATCTGTTAATTTCTTTTGTAGTAAGACCATATTAATACCAACCTTTTCTATCAATGAGCACAAAATGATTTTCCATTTATTTGCGTCATCTCTGACTCCCCCGCCCCGCCCAAGACAGTTTTGCTCTTGTTGCCCAGGCTGGAGTGCAATGGCGTGTAGCTCCCCATAACCTCTACCTCCCGG